ATAATCACTTAGGTATTTAATAGTAAAATTATAGTAAAAAGTGTTTTTGTCTAAAACGAACCAACAATTAATAAACTTTTGTTAAGAATGGACCACATAATGAATCTCTGCAATTGATTTTTATGGAAGAGTGGGCAAACGAGCAGACAGTCACTTGATGGTGACTACCGCCGCCCTTTGAACGACTGCAATTCAGGAGTCACAAGCACGCTCGTACGTACAAGAAGTACGCTCTTTTCTTGAAGGTCCGGAAATGCCGCAGACGATAACTTGTTCCACAGATTGCGATTCAAAACGTGTCGTTAAATGCGCACACTGGTGGAGTGCCAATTATCCAAGTGATGGGGATGAAAATTTTGCCGTGTGGAACGATGACGGAAAGTTGCGACCGGTGTTAATCCGAACGATTCCTCGGAGCACTCTCCATGATATATACCGTAGATAATGTAGAGTTGAAGCTACATCTCTACGTAACCCTAAGGGATCGAGTCGATCGGAGATCTTATGGCTATCAACACATCGAGTCGCTCTTCGTTGGATGTGGCACCCCTGCATAGAGCAATGGAGATGAGAACAGTATTCCATATGCGGCCTGACTACATCTACACATATATATGTTATTATTAATAGATATTTTCGATCTTTTATTTTAACTCTTATACATGAATATGGATCGCTGTAAATATATTTAGGTTCATAATATAATATATTACATATATTCATGGTCTTGAATGTAGGAGCGCCATGGGAGAGCCATGCTTCGGCACGAATGGGCCGGCTCGACCGGAGTGATACCACGGCCTCACAGAAAACCGGTGTTAAGCAATTCTTTTGTTGCTTTTCACTGAGTGAGTGAGGTTACCTGAGCCCAAATCCCCCCTCCCGCTGACTCGAGCGGGAGGGACTCCAAGGGCAGCAACGCACTTGTGACTTTTGAGTTGCAGGTGTCCATGGGCGGCGGTAGTTGCTTACCATCAAGTGATCTGTCTGCTCGTTTGCCCCCTTATACCATAAAGAAAAGAAAAAGAAAAGGATTGAGTCACGAATATCTATAGAGCCGATGCTATTGCTGGGATAAGCTCATATATTCGGTGTTTGGTTTTCTTTAAACCTTTCCTGTGTTATGAGTCAGCTCATAAGTTATTAAACTTAGTGTCACTCAAGGGAATATCCCTTCGCTAATGAATAATATCACACACAATATAACGTGGCTATTATTCTTTAAAAAAATCAAAAAATTAGAAAGTATTTTTTGGTCGACTGGTGTTTTATTTGTTTGAATTACGGTTTCTACTACTTTCTAGTTAGGGGATATCCAATGCTTGATGACAAATCCGTGAATCATCACTGTAATTAAAATACTAACACTTATAAATAATACTATTAAGTACTTAATTAGATAATCCTTTTAGAAAAAAGTTGAACTGGCTTCAAACAATACTAACAAAAACCTACGCGATCGCGATTGAGTTACCGTGATTTTATCACATCTATATGAAATTTAAATGGGATTATTTCGGCAAAAACCCTTTGAGAACAAAAACAAAATTATGCAAATCCATATTTGACGGATTTATGCCCGAACATACATACAAATATTGGTATAGGGTTTGTTTCAAGATTTCCTTCTCTTTACAGTGCTGTTGTCCTGCAGAGTTTGCTCTTACGACAACCACGGGATGAATAGGGTGGTGAAACTCTGTTTTCTTAATACGTCACCACACGGAAATCGGTAGTCGCTTAGCATCAGCTGACTCTTCTCCTCGTCTCGAAAAAAACATTATTCCAGAAAAGCTGTCCCTTTAAAGGTCGTAAAAGGGGTTTTGAAGTAGGAGCTGAATCAAAGGTTTACGTTTAACATTTGGGGCAAGAGTTTAAGGGCAAAACCTCCTGGTTAGTACTCGAAGATAACGATAAAACTCATCTCAGTTGATACTCTCCACATTAGATCTACATATAAAGCAATATTTTTCAACAACCTCATGAGTAAACCCCAATAACATGGGCACGTGAGTCAACACTAATATAGATTTATCTGTGCTAATGATTATCACAACCCCCAAAGCTCAGGACCAATCCTTAATCAGTTATTCAAAAGTAAAAAAAAAATATCTTGAAGTCATTGCCGGGGTTTACAGGGATAATCTTTCAAACACCCCGAGTCGGTATTTTTGTTAGTCGGTTTACGTCCGATGATCGTTTAGGCGGTATGATGATGTGTCTTCACCTCCTACAACTTGTTTAAAGAGGGCCTGTTACTAAGACTCACAAGTAACCTCTTTTATTTCGTGACTGGTTTACATTATAACTGTCTAGTAAATGACGATGCAATTGAATTATTTTAAAGTTCAAAACTATATCGAGGTGAACTGAAAGCAATTTGTAACATTTGAGGTCGTTATCGTATAGCTTTCTGAATTATTTCGTAATCTATACAAATAAATAAAATTGAAGTGTCTGTTTGTAATGTCAAAATTATATATTTTTTTTATGCTCACAAGGTTATTTGCACGATACCTATGCCTAAAAACCAGTTTTTTTTGTGTCTGTCTGTCTGATCCGGGTAATCTTCTAAACGGTTGGACCGATTTCGATAATATTTGACTACCAACCAGGTAGCTGTCTACATAATGAATAACTTAGGCTATTTTACCTTTCAGAAAAACACTTTAAAATTTTGCCCGATCCGGGCATCGAACCCACTGCGAAAGAAAAAGCGTCCAGCGAGCCACTGTACTTGGTCTTGCACTTGGTCGGTTCTGTAGTTGGTGCACGACCGCGAGATCTCGATCTTTAGGTGTGAACCAGAATAAGGTTTTGACTGAAGACTGGAGCAACTTAAAGAAAAGCAACTAGGACAGAGACATTAACTGGCCAGGTAGGCCAATTAATGTCTCTGTTCTAGTCGCTTTTAATTTGATAATTGACGTAGGTACGTCAATTATCGTATCGTGATGATATTTTTTATGTATATATGTGGTTTAGATAACAATATTATATTTATGGTATACGGGGGCAAACAATCAGACGGGCCACCAGGTGGTACGTGACCACCGTCGACCATAGACACCTTAAATTTAGAATACAAGACAAGCGCTTTGCCGCCCTTTGAGCCCAAGTCAAGAATTAGGGGTAGGCTCAACCCCTAATTCTTGACTTATCCTGACTCATCATTCATCAACAGTCTTTAACAACCCACTGCTGGACATAGGCCTCTCTGATGAACAGGGATGATGACACTCCGTTTGAGTGTTCTCCGTGTGGTGACGGATAAGTATATAACCGTCACCACACGGAGAACACTCACTCGGTGAAAAGCAAAGAAAAATTGCCTAACAGTGGCTGCTTAAAATTGCTTATCACTGATACCCCGTCATCACAGAAAACCGCTACCTACCGTATCACCGCTACCTACCGTATCACCGCTACCTACCGTATCACCGCTACCTACCGTACCGCCGCTACCGATAGCGTATCACTCCGGCCGAGTTGGCCTATGTGTGCCGAAAACAACTCTTCAACGGAAAAAAGTCTTCAATGGATAACAGACAACAGTAAACCGGTGAAGATTGGCCTTATATAAATCCTTTAAACTTATCTCTTCCTAACGATTCTCTGACAATAAAGCCAGGAGCTGCATAGTGATGCTTTACCGATTGGCACCAATCATGGTTGTCAATAATTTCTATAATATAAGTCCAGTAGCCTACCAGACTTCTACACAACAGCCACGACCCATACCACCGAACTGCTGCATCAAAATCTAGCCTAGAATTTCAGTACTAGGATGCGTAACAAAAGTTTTAATTCACTTTCAATAGCGATCAGCTGACTGCTTACACATAATTCAACATAATAACATTATGTATAAACAGTAGGTAGGTATGTATTGTATAGCTACGTTCGCAGTCGGGATTTCCTCGCTGTCGTCCGAGACATAGATACCGCTCGCCCGCAGCGGATGTAGCGCTTTTCGTTTTAAATCCTTTATAGCCTTTTGTTCCATTTTTGAATATTTTAGTAAAATGACTGGCTGAAATTTTACGTTCTTTTTTTTCAAATTTTATTTTAGAATATTGTCTGACGGGTTGGATGGATATCTTTTGGCGTTAAAGGCGTTAAAGTATATTTTTTTGTTAGTTTTATTTTCTTCAACAGATATTAGACATTGCTTTTTTGTCTCAGAGATTTAACTATATCGGTGTTTGGCGACCTCATTGTCCTCTTTTAGGAATTTAAAAATTTAGAACAGTATATTTATCACAAAAATTAAAAGATTATTCTAACATAACACAAAATATGAAAATTCAGTATCTCATGAAGAACTTTAAATTTTCCTTGTAATTTTACAACAAGTCCTACAGAGCCTGATTCAGAGAAAATAGAAACATTTCAAAGCTAATACTTCGTTCGCGGCCCTCCAACGTAGCTTATCAAGTAATGTTTACAAAAAAATGATAAACAAAAAGGTCAATGTACACGCGTTGCAAGTAAGCGGCTGCAGCGCTGAACGACGCGCTCAATCACAGCTGAGCTGGCAGGTCGGACACCTGACGTCGGCGCGTCCTCCCCCCGCGCGCCGCGCCCATCAGCTGTTAATGTAGCCCCGCCCCCCGCTTACCCCGCCGCAGCCTTTCCCCTTCGTTTGTGTAATGTGAGGAGCGTCGGCTATCAACGACACGCACCGTCATTATATTTTTATGAGAACTTTTCTTATTAGTTTTGTATAGGATCAACAACGCTCTGGACTCTATTTTTCGGTTATATGCGGATCAAACAAAAACTACAAACAAGAATTAAGTCAATTAATGTGTAGTATATTTATCCGAGTTACGTTTAATGTGAAGTCAACTTTTAACTTTAACGGCTTACGCTTGACGCAACACCAATTAAGAATGTATGAGCGCTAGCAGTTTCAAACAGTTATAGATTTTATTCACTACGATACGATGAACAAAAATGCCAACTTTTAATAATATATCGCACATTATGCCTGGCAAATGAATAATTTATCGCGGTGTGTCGATTCGGGGCTAACATCCCCGGGTCTTGCGGGGTGTCCCCTCAGTGCGGGGACCGGGGTTACGGGCAGCGGGAGGGGGCACGATCGCCGTCAGTCCGCGCCGAGCGGCCGAGCGAGCGCCATGTTCGCGTGTGCGCCGCGCGCCTGCTGCCGGCCGCGCGCCCCGCCGACTCTGCTTGACATAACAGCAAAAATAGTCGCCGCCGCGATCCCGTTCCAACGTATTGAGGAGCGATATGAACGTATCCCAGAGCCGGTGCAACGTCGCGTCGTGTATTGGTCATTCCCGAGGGATGAACGCGACATCTGTATGTACTCGTCGCTGGCGCGAGCGCCTCCTGACGACCATCGCAACATCGCCTTCTGCCGCGGCCTGAAGCTGCTTGAGGCCGGTTGTGTGGAGAACGTGCTACAAGTCGGTGAGTGTCCGAGGCCGAGCGCGCCTGCGCCTGTTTACTAATATGCGCCTCGCCCACCCGCGCCGTATAAATAAAAACCTCGACGTGTGCGATCGATAGCTGCTCCTCTCGGGAATTATTCATGCGGCGGTTCGTAAAAGTTTCAGGGGATTAGGGCCTGTTGGGATTGGTGATGGTGACCCTACAATCTCCACAGATCGCAAAGGTCGACCGGTCGCGCCGCTCACCATCCGTGTGACGCAACTAATAGGCTTATCTAGCATTATCAACAACCCGATAGTTGCATTGAGGTTTTATCGATTCAAAGATACTCATAATTCACGGTACTCTTGTGGACGACTCGTTCCAGTGGTCCATTAATATCTCCCTGAGGTACGCCTGTCCGCCAATAGGAAACCGGAACGCTCATACTTAATTGGGTTTCATTACCATGCATCGATTTCATTCTGCATCCATAATCCATAAGGTACTTCAATAGCTTTATTTTCCTCGACATAATTTTCCATATAAAGTCGTCTCGAGCAATTAATCGAACGCCTAATTGAGATCTACTTTCGAAACTATGGAGATGCATCGTGAAATTCGGCTTATGATTTACATAACTGGAAGTCCCGTTACATAGGGAATTACTCAACCGGATCGGCTGGTGTCCGCATCGGTCTCGCGCGTCTCGCAGCCACTACACTCCGCAGCTAGCCTGCGAGCGATGAGAACTCGGAGCAGGGCCGCGCTTGTGATCGCATTAATCCATGCAGACGTCGTTTGTTACTGTCGCCGCTCTGAATAACGGACGCGAATAAACAATATTAATTGCCTGTTTTTATTTTAATGGGTCAGGCAGGCCTGGTTTTATTGTAGTCGGTTGTGGGAGGACGGGCCTTACATATTCATTTGTGCTTATCTGCCATCGGAGCGCGATTACTGGTCATTTTGGGCCGTTTCGGGTCGCGCTGCGGTCACATACGCCACATTTAGAGGGGCCACATATTTCATAAGCCTGTCACGTCTCACGAGATTTCGGATGCATTAATGTAATGAAAGATGTGGAGCATAAACACAAATTCATAGTTGAATCATGTCCGCAGTACGATTTTAGGCACTGGCTTACGTCCAACTTTAGGGCGATGGAAGAGTCGCTTCGAAGAGATAGCGTTTCCGATATGAACTGCGTACTTATGTTCGAGATAAACGCGTCAGTGGTCGCTCAATAAACCTACTTGTAGTGCCCAAAGTGATATAAGTTCCCACACCCATATCATCTGAGTCACACAATCAGTTGGAACCGCCCACTTGACTAAAAACAGTCTGAAATATGTTCCGAGAATTCTGTCGTAGGCAACGAAGGTTATAACCGAGGAAGGATTGAATTGTCTGCTATGCAAATTTGTAGGTCAGACGAGGTCAGGACTTCGGAAGACGAGATAGAGGAGTTTTGTTAAAGACGTATTGGAAGAAATACGATTTCTAACGAGTCTTGCAATCTGCATGAGTACTTTTAGTGAATAACTTGCACACGCTTTTAAAATTTTAATGTATTCGTATCGAGTTCCATCGGAGACAGCTTACCATATCCACAGTACAAAATGTCACGAGAAGGAAAAAATATCTGGTTGGCACCATTCGAGCGACTAACCAAACGAGAATAGCCAGATTCGTGTGTATGAATAAAAGAACGCGTCGCCCTCTACGTACATGCAAATGATTGAAAATGTACCCTACATTTTAAATGTATCAGTCATATGCACATATTTAAATTGTCATGCAAAAGTGAACGCATACACCCGGCAGAGCTCTGTAAATATTTTAATTTCGATATTAACAACTTCATATCATTTCTGTTTATTTAAATCTCGTAACGTTTTACCTTTTTGCTAACCGGTTTCTTGTTTGATCGTAGCGTAGATGAGGGTTGTTTTTGATTAAATTATCGATATCCTATTCTCTGTTTGGATTCCATTTCCCATAGAGGGTTTTGCACGTATCTGACAGCTCGATTACAATTAATAATTTAAATGAAAAATGGCTTTCGTAGCGCCTGCACGGATTCATTGTGGATTATTAACTAGAATCGATTTTCATCGGCTGCCATAAAGGATCGGTTAAATTTTAAGTGCCCCGTCAATATTCGTCTCATTAAATATTGCTATCATTTTATAATTCATGTTCAATGGCTTCCATTTGGAACAATCGGGTATTTTAGTTTTAACCTTCCTTTTATACTGGATTATCCGCAATTTTGTTTTGTTTTTTAAGTATTGTTGATAGTACGCATACTGATATTAGTAATAAAAATATTCCGATAAAACGTAATTGAATGGTTTAGAAAACAATAATAGTCGTAATAATATTCAGAAATATATTTAAGCTTTATTATCTGTACTAATATTGGAACGAAGAAGGGAGCGAGACCGAAAAGTGTGTAACTAGACTTTTTCCGACACTTCGCTCGCTGTCAGGACTTACTGGTTCTAATCGAAAATTCTTTTAGTGTTGGATAGCCCATATATCGAGGGAGGCAACAGATAGTTGGCGCTCCACTACTGTGCGCTTTTCGAGCAGTTTTTGCCCCGCATAACCAATCTGTGGAACGGGTTATCGTTTGCGGTATTTCCGGACCGATACGACCTTTAAACCTTCAAGGAAAGATCGTACTCCTTCCTAAAAGGCCGGCAACTCGTTTGTGACTCCTGAGGTGCAGACGTTCATGAGCGGCAATGGTCACTTTCCATCAGGTGACCCTCGTCTGCCCCCTCCAAAATAAAAAAAAAGAAGCAGAGGTATCACTGTTTTTTTTTTTTTGAGAGACGTAAATGAAATTCAGTTCAGTTCAAACATTTATGTCATAAATGGGAAATGTCAGTTTACTTTCTATAAAATAAGTAAAACCATTTGAACAATACCTACTTCCTTATCGCTTGCCATCCCTTTTCCTTAATCAGGTTGGTGTATACCATCGGCGTTTTTCTTTAATATGTTCATTGGGGTCAGCGCAAGGTGATTGCTTGATGGGCCTGTGGCTGTAAGTTCGAATTCCACCCAGGACAAATAATTGTGTGAAGAGCACTATCATTTGTTCTGTCTGGGTATTATTTGTCTATAATATGTATGTATTTACAAATATATAAGTATGTTTATCATCAGACTGGTTCCCATAGCTCAGGCTCTGCCTAGTTAGGATCAGAAAGCCGTGTGTTAGGTACGTGAATGTTTTTATTACTTTTTTTTTTACCTTCAAGAAAAGAGCGTAGTTCTTCCTAAAAGGCCGGCAACGCGTTTGTGACCCCTGAGACGTGACGCCTGCAAGCCGTTCTTGAGCGGCGGTAGTCACTTTCCATCAGGTGACCCGTCTGCTTGTCCCCTGGCGGTGGCCCCTCTTCCATAAAAATAAAATAAAAAAATAACTTACTTTTTTTTTACAAATATTTATAAAAGATTCATCTCATTTATATTACTAAACATTTATGATTCGACATTAATACAAGATCTTAACGACTTTGAGATAACTATCATAGCTGTCATACCATAATAACAATTTTAAAAACTAAAACGCGTTACCATAGACTACCTGGAAGACGTCTACGGTTTAATAAAAATTAAAGATGTAATAAGCATTATATGATATGATATCTCACAGATTCCCGCGACATTTCATCACAGTTTCAAAGAGTTCAACCGCGTGGCGTCGCTTCTCAGAAGGTCTCGGTAACTCGCTATGATTCACGATGATTGTGTGATATCCATTCTTGTCCGTAACAAGTTTCTTTAAAGGATCCGACAAAAACCGCAGAGCTTTATACGTTCGAAGTATAATTTCTTAAATATTACCAGTTTTGTATCTTTTAGTTCGTCTTGTATTTAGTTTTTTGTCGAATGAATTCGGGTTATGCCAGTTTGATCGATAAGACCAAGCTGTTCAAATAACAGACAAAATGTATGCATTCAGATACTCACCATGTTAGGGCTTCTCAGTTAACCCTAAACATGAAATAATTCCATATAACAGTACATCTACGGCAGTTATTTCAACATTGCCTTGTGGTACAGGTTAATTATGACTCCCTTGAGGTTAGTAATGCGAATTACTGCTAACTAAAAAATTTCCAATGACAATTTTGAAGACTTTATTCATACATACATTACGCCCAATGATATTTTATTTATTCATTTATTTATTTATTACAAACTATGGAAGATTTACAGCTGTGATGATCACAATAAAAGCAGTCAAGAATACAGATAGCCAATTACAAATCCTCACTTATATAAATCAGAGATAAGTTACAGTGCATAAGACAATACAGAATATGATCAAGAGGTATTATATAAGTTACAGGCACAGATCACTTACAAATTACACAGAACGTAATAATATACACACAATTTTAAAGAAGATACGTTACTGCACGCACGACATATTTGTAACCGTACACACATCTATTAATGTATTTTAGAACAAACCTCTGGTATGATATTCCTTTATCTTTATTTACCTTTTTGTACACTTTCGGAATACACAGAATGCCAGTTTATGAATTTTCTCGAATAAATTAGTACGTGCGCTCGCTCGCAGTGGTCCTAATTAGGACCCTTGCGTTGGTGGCGTATCTACCTCTTTTTTGTATATAATGTCGCTTTGTTCCCGTGCAGCGTATGCGGAGACTATAAAACGCTATTTGCCAAGATCGAGCGATCGTGACATACAAGTTGCGCCTCCACATTGATTAGGCAGCTCATTATATGCTCTGTCTTTAGGGCCATAGACTATAAACTTTAATTTCATATAAACTAATTTCGTTATTAGACTAACTATAGAAATTTTCGGTATTTAATTTCGGCAAACGAAACCTACCTTTTGTAGACTATTAAAATTATTAATGTATAAATTATGCAAATAAATTCAATAAGCATCCTTTCATCAATAGTCGTAAAGAATTGCAATTACAGTACAGTACCCAGGCTACGCAAACAGAACTGTCGAAATTTTGTATTAAAATGAAATACGAATGAAATAAATAAACAAATCAAGAAATGTGCCGGTCAA